CTCTGTGCAAAGCCAGGTGTGTCAGGAAATGAGGGGAGGGGGCTGGAAAAGCCTGGAGGGAGCGGGGGGGGGGGGGAGGCTGGGAGAAACGTCGCTCTCTTCTGTAGCTCCAGCACAGGCAGGAGGGGAAATATTAGCAGGGACACCTTTGATGCAAAATTAATACCGAAATTAATCAACGGCCTGGGTGCGTAATAGGATTCGGCAGCCCCTGGCAGCCCGTGCTGGGCGGCCGACTTATTTCATGCTGACGGAAAGGAAGCCAGAGGAGATGAAATAAAGCCCATAAAGATAATTACTGAGATACTTGGGAGCAAATTAAGTAATCAGAGGCGCCTCTAAATCATGTCTAGTTTTAAGAAGAGCCATCGTTCCCGATTACTGAGAGAGCCATCTGGAAGGAGGACAGGACAAAAACAGAGACCCCCACCCTCTCCCTTTCCTCAGTGCCCCCAGGCCAAGGCAAAGACCTCCACCCACTCCCCCCACTGGCCCCCTATGTGCCCCTTCTCCTCTGTGGGCGGAAGGGACAGCTAAGGGGGACAGCTGCCTTGGCAAGGAGATGCCCAGGGTGGGGGCCCTTAATTCATGGGGGGGGGGAGCCAAGCGAGGGGAGGCTGAGAGAGAGAGATGCGATTTCCCTCTTGCTAAGCAAACCCACCCAGGCCGAGGGAGGCCCGAACCATCTCGGTCTCTGCCCAGTTAGAACTAAAAGCTAAATAAAATTGGAATCCTGATAGTTTATTGGTAGGATGAAGATGATGATTGTCATTATTCTGATTGCTTTGCACGTATCCCGAGAGTTTCTGCATCGGAGACAAATTCCTTGTGCATCTAATCACCATCTAGCCAAGTAAAATATTCCAATTCCTCCTCTCCAGCATTAAACAAATGAAAACAGGCAGAAGGGCAACCGGTAAAGTTTCCCTTGGAAAATCCTAGCCTGATCCTCCGGGGTGCCAGGCAGAGGGGAGGCTGGGCCAGCACATCCTCCGCAGAGGATCAGAGGATCAGCGCTGGCCGGGGCCACGGAAGGCCGTTTTCTAAAGATCTCAAGAAAGAGGGCGGCCTGATCTGCAGCCGCTCCAGATCCCTCGCCCATCTTAAATAGCAGAATTGCTCAGCCATGGAAGGAGGCGGAAAGGGGGCCTAAAGCCACCACAGCCCACCCCAGGCTGTGTCCTTGCAG